AGAAGCCATGAAAACAAAATTAGGGAAATAAATGACACCATAAAACGTTCCAACATCTGAATTATTGGGATCCCTGAGTGGGTGGAGAAAGAGAGAAGACTAGAAGATATAGTTGCACAAATTTTCCCAGTCTGGGGAATGGAAGAAGTGTTCGTGTCCTAGAGGCAGAAAGAACACCCCCCAGGATTAATGAATCTAGAAAGACCTCAAGGCACTTGATAGTGAAACTGACAAATAATAATTTTAGACGAGACATTCTGACAGGAACTGGGGGAAGAGATTCCTTATGTACAGAGGAAGGTCCATCAGAATAACATCAGACCTGTCCACAGAAACCTGGCAAGCCAGAAAGGGCTGGCAAAACATACTCAGGGCACTAAATGAGAAGAATTTGCAGCCAAAAATATTTTGTCCAGCAAGGCTGACATTCAAAATGGACAGAGAGAAGAGCTTCCAAGACCGGCAGGGTTTAAAAGAGTATGTGACCACCAAGCCGGCACTACAAGAAATACTAAGGGGAGTTCTATAAAAGAAGAAAGAACCTAAGAGTAACAGAGACCAGAAATTTACAGAGACAATCTATAGAAACAAGGACTTTGCAGGTAACATGACATCAGTAAAAACGTATCTTTCAATAACCACTCTCAACATGAATGGCCTAAATGCTCCTATAAAATGACACAAGGTTGCAGATTGGATAAAATGACAGGACCCACCTAATATACTGTCTACAAGAGACCCATTTGGAACCTAAAGATACATCCAGACTGAAAGTGAAGGGATGGAGAAGAATCTCTCATGCCAACGGGCCTCAAAAGAAAGCTGGGGTAGCGATTCTCATATCAGATAAATTAAATTTTAAACTAAAGACTGTAGTCAGAGATACAGAAGGACACTACATTATTCTTAAAGGGTCTATCCACCAAGAAGACCTAACCACTATAAACATTTATGCCCCCAATATGGGCACAAACAAATACATAAGCCAATTGTTAATCAAAATAAAGAGTTGTATTGATAAGAATACATTATTGTAGGGGATCTTAATGTACCACTCTCATCAATAGACAGATCATCCAAGCAGAAAATCAGCAAAGAAAAAAGAACTTTGAATGACACACTGGACCAGATGGACCAGAACATTCCACCCTAAAACAACAGAATACTCATTCTTCTCAAGCACACATGAAACTTCCTCCAGAATAGACCACATACTAGGTCACAAATCAGGGCTCAACTGATACCAAAAGATTGAGATTATTCCCTGCATATTCTTAGACCACAGTGCTTTGAAACTGGAATCTCAACCACAAGAAAAAGATTAGAAGGAATTCAAACACTTGGAAGCTAAAGACCATCCTGCCCAAGACTGTTCAGAACAACCAGGAAATCAAAGAATTTAAACAATTCATGGAAACCAATGAGAATGAAGACACATCCGTCCAAAACCTATGAGATATGGCAAAAGAGGTCCTAAGGGGGAAGTACATAGCCATCCAAGCCTCACTCAAAAAAATTGAAAAATCCTGAATACACCAACTCTCTTTACACTTTAAAGAACTGGAAAATCAACAACAAATTAAGCCAACCCTACACACAAAATATTAGAGCAGAGATCAATGAGTTAGAAACTAGAGATACAGTAGAACACATCAACAAAACTAGAAGCTGGTTCTCTGAAAGATTTAATAAGATTGATAAACCACTGGCCAAACAAATCCAAAAGAAAAGAGAGAGGACCCAAGTTAATAAAATTATGGATGAAAGGAGATAGATCACAGCTAACATCAAGGAAATAGAAACAATCTTCAGAAATTACTATCAATAGTTATATGCCAATAAGTTAAGCAACCTAGAAGAAATGGATACATTTCTGGAAACACATAAACTTCCAAAACTGAAACAGGAAGAAATTGACAACCTGAATAGACCAATATCTAGTAACAATATTGAAGCAGTGATCAAAAACCTTTCAAAAAATAAAAATCCAGGACCTGAAGGATTCCCTGTGGAATTTTACCAAACATTCAAAGAAGAAATAATACCTATTCTCCTGAAGCTGTTTCAAAAATGGAAACGGTAAGAAAACTTCCAGACTCTTTCTATGAAGCCAGCATTACCTTAATCCCCAAACCAGGCAAAGACCCCATCAAAAAGGAGAATTTCAGACCAATATCCCTGATGAATATGGATGTCAAGATCCTCAACAAGATCCTAGCTAATAGGATCCAACAGTACATTAATAATGTACATTAATAATCATTATTAATTATAATTAATAATTAAATCATAACCAAATGGGATTCATCCCTGGGATGCAAGGGTAGCTCAGCATTTGCAAGTCAATCAACGTGATGGAACAAATCAATACGAGAAGAGAGAAGAACCACATGGTTCCCTCAATTGATTCAGAAAAAGCATTTGACAAAATACAGCATCCTTTCATGATTAAAACTCTTCAGAGTATAGATATAGAGGAAATATTCCTCAACTTCATAAATCCATCTATGAAAAACCCACAATGAATATTATTCTTAATGAGGAAAAGATGAGAGCCTTCCCATTGAGATCAGGAAAATGACAAGGATGCCCACTCTCATCACTGTTGTTCAATATAGTACTAGAAGTTCTAGCAACAGCAATCAAACAACAAAAGGAAATAAAATGTATTTAAATTGGCAAAGAAGAAGTCGAACTTTCTCTCTTCACAATGACATGATACTTTATATGGAAAACCCAAAGGATTCCACCCCCAAATTACTAGAATTTATACAGCAATTCAGTAATGTGGCAGGATGCAAAATCAATGCTCAAAAGTCAGTTCCCTTCCTATACACTAACAAAGAAACTATAGAAAGGGAAATTAGAGAATTGATTTCACTTACTATAGCACCAAAAACAATAAGATGCCTTGGAATAAACCTAACCAAAGAGGTAAATGATCTGTACTCAAGAAACTATAGAACACTCATGAAAGAAACTGAAGAAGACACAAAGAGATGGAAAAACTTCCTTGCTCATGGGAAGAACAAACCTTGTTAAAATGTCTATTCTACCCAGAGCAATCTATACTTTTATGCCATCCTGATCAAAATTCCAGATCAAAAATGGGAATTTTTCAAAGTGAAGGAACAAACAATCCTAAAATTTGTATGGAACCAGAAAAGACCCTTAATCACTAAGGAAGTGTTGAAAAAGAAAAAACAAAGCTGGGGGCATCATGTTGTCTGATATCAAGCTTTATTACAAAGCTGTGATCACCAAGACGGCATAGTACTGGGACAAAAACAGACACATAGACCAATGGAACAGAGTTAAGAGTCCAGATAAGGATCCGCATCTCTATGGTCAAGTAATCTTTGACAAAGCAGAAAAAAATATCCAGTGGAAAGAAGACGGCCTCTTCAATAAATGGTGCTAGGAAAATTAGGCAGCTTAGTATAGAAGAATAAAACTTGACCATTCTCTTACACCATACACAAAGGTAAACAAAATGAATGATAGAACTCAAATTGAGAGAGGAATCCATCAAAATCTTAGAGAAGAACATAGGCAGTAACTTCTTCGACATTGGCCACAGCAACTTCTCTCAAGACATGTCTCCAAAGGCAAAGGAAACAAAAGTGAAAATGAATTTTTGGGACTTCATCAAGATAAAAAGCTTCTGCACAGCAAAGGAAACAGTCAACAAAGCAAGAGGCAGCCCATGGAATGGTAAAAGATATTTGCAAATGACACTGCAGACAAAGGGCTCATATATAAGGTCTACGAAGAACTCCTCAAACTCAACACCCCAAAACCAGATAATCATGTAAAAAAATGGTCAGAAAACATGAACAGACACTTCTCCAAAGAAGACATACAAATGTCTAGTATACACATGAAAAATGTTCATCATTAGCCATCAGGAAGATTCAAATCAAAACCACATTGAGATACTACCTTACACCAGTTAGAATGGTCTAAATTAACAGAAGAGGAAACAACAAGTGTCGAAGAGTATGTTGAGAATGGGTAACCGTCTTACACTGATGGTGAGAATGAAAGTTGGTGCAGCGTCTTTGGAAAACAGTGTGGAGATTCCTTATGAAATTAAAAATAGAGCTACCCTATGACCCTGCAATTGCACTACTGGGTTTTTACCCCAAAGATACAGATGTAGTGAAAAGAAGGGCCATATATACCCTGATGTTCATAGCAGCAATGTCCACAATAGCCAAACTGTGGAAAGAACCAATATGCCCTTCAATGGATGAGAGGATAAAGATATAGTTCATATATACAATGGAATATTATGCAGCCATCAGAAAGGATGAATACCCAACTTTTGTATCAACATGGACGGGTCTGGAGGACATTAGGCTAAGTAAACTAAGTCATTCAGAGAGAATCAATTATCATATGGTTTCACTTACTTGTGGAGCATTAGAAATAGCATGGAGGAGACTAGGAGAAGTAAATTAAAAGTGAATTGTGGGAAATGGTGGGGGGGCGCAGGGAGAGGAACCATGAGATATTGTGGACTCTGAGAAACAAACTGAGGGTTTGGGAGGGTAGGGGAGTTGGGGGATGCGTGAGCCTGATGGTAGGTAGTAAGGAGGGCACATATTGCATGGAGCACTGGGTGTGGTGCATAAAAAATGAATCTTGGAACACTGAAGAAATAAAATTAAATTTTAAAAAAGATACTATAGATGTTTTTAAACAAATAGATGTGCTTTTTTAAATACTTTATTTATTTGTCAGAGAGGGAGCATGAACAAACAAGAGGAGCAGAGGACAGAGGGAGAAGCAAGTTCCCCGATGAGCAGGGAACATGATGCAGGATTCAATCCCTGGGATCATGACCTGAGCCAAAGGCAGATACTTAACCAACTGAGCCATCCAGGCATCCCACTACTATAGACCTTTGGTTGCTTTCTTGGTCTCCTACATTCAGTGCTTGTAAATGGACAAAAATGGATGGAATGAAATGGTATCAAAATTTTTCAATTGTTTAGAATCCCAACAGAAAGCTGAAGAAGTTTGCCAGATGTATTTTATGCAGCTGCGCTCTGGCCTTATCATAGAAAAGACGGCCTGTTATTTTAGGAAAGAAATCACCAAAAGGCATTCACCAAGAACAGGTAAGAGGAAACTACATTTCCTGGTAACTCTTCAATATAGTAATGGGTTTCTCTCTGCCCTTATTTACCGCATAGTGGATGTATAATTTTTTCCCTTGAGCAAATTTTCCTTCTGAAAAAAAGTAAGGATGTTGAATTACTTTCTAGCCATTTTCAAAAGGACATATAAAACTTTTTATAGCATGGGAGAAATGGTATTGTTACAATATTAAGTGAAAACAGATGATATAAAAATTATAAATATGTTTACAGTATTTTAAGTTTTTTTTTTTATTTAAAGGAATTAAACTAAAATGTTAATAGCAGGTTTTGGGGTGTTGATTCCATGAGTAACTCGTTTTCTTCCACCTGGGCTCCAACGGGTATGCCCTACTGGGGTATAAGTGTGCCAGGAGGTATTGATCCTTCAAACTATAGGGCAGCTAAAGCCCTGGTATCAGTCCCAGCAATCAGCTTTGACTGGGAATCCTCAAAGAGGAGTAAAGAAGTTTGGGCAGAGCGGGTACTGACAGCCCACTCCTACTCTCTCCCTGTCCTCCAGGTGGAAAGTACAAAGAGCAACATCTGGTATTCACTGCTTGTCATCAGCAGCTAAAGGAAGACTTTGACTGTGATGTACCTAGGGCCCAGAAATGTTTTAGGGCAACTAATTTTCCAAGTATCCAAGGTATGACTGGTGCTGAGGGTGGTGTGGGTGTGAGGAGGAAGGAAAGACACAGGATCAGGGCCACTCTAGGAAGCAGCTCCAAGTCAATGCCTACCTGTGTAACAGAAACTTCTGTCCATTTGCAGCCCACAAATCTATTCAGTGGTATTCAAACTAGGTACAGAGTAGCTGCTCTAACAATGAATGTACATCTTATAGTTAGCCCTCCATTATTATTTTGAAATACTTGTTATGAATTGGAATCCCATATCATTATTCCTGGAGAAAATAAGTTATCCTTTGGGGAAAAAATCCCCACATTCCCCTCCCCCAAATTCCAACATTGACAATGAAAGAAAATTAAGAACTATTATATTTTTAAAATATAATTTCAACTCCTAAAAATTTTAAATGTTTTTTCAAATGGATTTAAGTATCACCTACTCATGCAAATAAAGTCCAAATTGATGGTGACCATCAAGAAGTGAAGAGATCATTACGAAAATTTGGCCAGGAGTTGCACGTTGCCATTTTAAGCATAATCCTGATATAAATGTCTTTAAGTTCCCAGAAGCATACTGAATTTTCTCATTCATTAAGTATCTTTTTTATATATTTTTTTTATTTTTTCTATTTCTTTTCAGTGTTCCAGAATTCATTGTTTATGCACCACACCCAGTGTTCCATGCAATACATGCCCTCCATAATAACCACCACCAGGCTCACCCAACTTCCCACCCCCACTCCCCTCCAAAACCATCAGTTTGCTTCTCAGAGTCCATAGTGTCTCATAGTTCATCTCCCCCTCCAATTTCCCCCAACTCCCTTCTCTCCATCTCCGCATGTCCTCCATGTTATTCTTTATGCTCCACAAATAAGTGAAACCATATGATCATTGATTCTGCTTGACTTATTTCACTCAGGATAATCTCTTCCAGTCCTGTCCATGTTGCTACAAAAGTTGGGTATTCATCCTTTTTGATGGAGGCATAATACTCCATAGTATATATGGACCATATCTTCTTTACCCATTCATCTGTTGAAAGGCATCTTGGTTCTTTCCACAGTTTGGTGACTGTGGCCATTGCTGCTATGAACATTGGGATACAGATGGCCCTTCTTTTCACTACATCTGTATCTTTGGGGTAAATACCTAGCAGTGCAATTGCAGGGTCATAGGGAATCTCTATATTTAATTTCTTAAGGAATCTCCACACTGTTTTCCAAAATGGCTGCACCAACTTGAATTCCCACCAACATTCTCCCACACATGTTATTTACTGTTTTGTTAATTTTGGCCATTCTAACTGGTGTAGTGGTATCTCAATGTGGTTTTATTTGAATCTCCCTGATGGCTCATGATGATGAACATTTTTTCATGTGTCTGTTGGTCATTTGTATGTCTCCTTTGGAGAAGTGTCTGTTCATGTTTTCTGCCCTTTTTTGACATGATTATCTGTTTTGTGTGTGTTGAGTTTGAGGAGTTCTTTATAGATCTTGGATATCAGCCCTTTGTCTGTACTGTCATTTGTGAATATCTTCTCCCATTCCGTTGGTTGCCTCTTTGTTTTGTTGACTGCTTCCTTTGCTGTGCAGAAGCTCTTGACCTTGATGAAGTCCCAAAAGTTCATTTTCGCTTTTGTTTCCTTTGCCTTTGGAGACATATCTTGAAAGAAGTTTCTGTGGCTGATATCAAAGAAGTTACTGCCTATGTTCTCCTCTAGGATTCTGATGGATTCCTGCCTCATGATGATGTATTTTATCCATTCTCAGTTTATCCTTGTGTATGGTGTAATAGAATGGTTGAGTTTCATTCTTGTACATATAGCTGTCCAATTTTCCCAGCACCATTTATTGAAGATACTTTTTTCCACTACATATTTTTTCCTGCTTTGTTGAAGATTATTTGACCACAGAGTTGAGGGTCCATATCTGGGCTCTCTACTCTGTTCCACTGGTCTATGTGTCTGTTTTTGTGCCAGTACCATGCTGTCTTGGTGATCACAGCTTTGTAGTAAAGCTTAAAATCAGGCAACATAATGACCCCAGTTTTAAGTCATTTTATTTAAGAAGTTCATGTACAGACTCAATATTTAACATTCTTCTGTTTTGTACTTTATTTTTCTTGGCACAATGCTATAACATAAAGAAAACATAATATTTTTTTTTCTCAAGACCAACATAAATGGTCCCTAATTCTACACCAGTTTACACCAGCATGCCATAGAAATACTTTAATTTTCTATGTGTGCTGGGCCATTTTTTTTTAAGTTGGGAATACTGTTCTAAGTGTCTCTGCTATTTAGCCAGAGGACAGAATGGCACTCACACTCTCCAGGATTGTTGGAAGTCTTTGAATAACTCCACACCTTACAGATTGGTATCCATTTAACCATGTCTATCAAAATACAGTCTCCTTGTCCACAGTCCCCATGACCATAAGAAACAAGGAAACAGAGGTGTCCTTAGGCAAAGTCTGTCACTTTTCCAGCTTCTTTCTTTCCACCAAATCCCCCCCTAAACACACTAACATGACCTCCTATGGTTTTCAACCAAGAGACTAGCATCTCTAATCCCATTCAAGTGGTACACCTTACCCTTTGAGCTACATTAAGCTTGCACCCAACTTTTGTATCAACATGAACAGGACTAGAAGAGACTATGCCGAGTGAAATAAGTCAAGCAGAGAAAACCAATTATCATATGGTTTCATTTATTTGTGGAGCATAAGAAATAACACAGAGGACATGGTAGAAGGAGAGGAGAAGGGAGTTGAGGGAAATTGGAGGGCGAGATGAACCCTAAGAGACTATGGACTCTGAAAAACAATCTGAGCATTTTGAAGGGGCTGGGGGTGGGAGGTTGGAGGAGCTTCGTGGTGGGTATTATGGAGGGCACATATGCATGGAGCACTGGGTGTGGTGCATAAACAGTGAATTCTGTTCACTGAAAAGAAATAAAATAAAATAAAAATCTTGCACCAAAGGCTTTTATCTATCTAATGGTGGTGGGAAAAGTGCAGCTCAAATTGAAAAGAAAAACAAAAATCAAAAACCTTTAAGGAAGCATTTCCTTTTGATTGCTGAAAGATTGTTCATGGGAACAAGTGTGTTTGAATTTTTAATGACAAACTTTTCACTTGTTACAGAACATTCTGCTTCCCTGAGCACATACAATGACCAATCTATTACTTTCGTTTTTGAGGATGGAGGTTATGAGATCTATGTAGAAGACTTGAGAAAAGACCAAGAGAAAGGTAGAATATTTCTTTTGTCTATAATGATATAATGCTGACTAGTAAAGAAAAAATAAATTTATCAAGGGGTGCCTGGATCGCTCAGACAGTTAAGTGTTCAAACCTTGATTTCAGCTCAGGTCATTGATCTCAGGGTCTTGAGATCAAGCCCCATATCAGGCTCTCACTAGGTGTGAAGCCTAATTAAGATTCTCTCTCTCCTTCTCCTCCTGCTCTTGCCCCTCCAACTGCACCTCCCCCTAATAATAATAATAATAATAATAAATTTACCAAACCATAAACAGTGGACTACTTCAGACATAGCGAATAAATTCCATGCTGTGTGCTAACTCCAATGCATTGGCAGCAGGTGCCTAAATACACTAAGTTGAGGAGAATTTAGAAGTTTTTAGGCCTTTCTTAAAATCAAAAAAGTTTTGCTTTTATTGATATGTAACAAAAGAGGATATTTTCTGCTGTTAGGTATATGTTGAAATTGAAATCTTTTGATAAAACTGTATCTCACCAAAAGGATTTTATGTATTCTCTTTCAGATAAGGTGCTATTCCGTTATTATGATTCCCAATCCCCCACTCATGGAACAGGTAATTTGGAGGGCTGGGCAGTTGTAGTGCTTTCATTCTTGAATTTGGGGGTAAGAACAAATCCAAAAATGCTCCATGAAAAAGACAGTCTCAGAAGGTTCTCTCCAGCCCACACTCATGGCAAAATCTTAGATTCTTACAGGATTTATTCCACCCATCCATTGCAGAATAATAGTGGCTTAAGCTACACAAAACTTTATTTTTATCTTAGCCAGGGCTGGAATAACAGCTCTGTTCAACAAGTTGTACAAGGACCAAGCTCCTTCTCTGTGACTCTGCCAACATCCACATGGTTCAAGATTACTTGCTACCATGACAATGCCCAATCAGCAGGACAAAGGAAGACATGACATATGAATTCTCTTTCCCTTTAAGGACAAAACTTTAAGTTGTAACCAACACTTCCATTCACCTCATATTTGTCAAAACTTAGTCACATTGCTACACTTTATTATAAGAAAACAGACTGGGAAATATTCTATTATACAAGGAGGGTGGTTGGATATTGGGAAACTACTATCAGTGGCTTTGCATGCAGATAGGGAAACTGACACCCAGACAAATACCCAATAGAGTCACAATTCTACAAATAGAAAGCAAATAAGGAAGCTAAGGAGTTTAAAATTACCCCCAAATAATGGGGTGATTTTACTAAGTTTAATTTAATTTAATGGGGTAATTTTGCTAATTTTACTAAATGGGGTAATAACTAAGGAGCTTAAAATTACCCCAAATTGTCCAATAACTCTTTAGGAAATTAAACTTAATCCCACATTGCCCAGTGATTCTTTAGTTTCACTTGGGTACAAATACTTCTAAAAGACATGTAGGTTAATGAAACAATTATTTTACATCATATCTTGGACTCTTTTCCTATGTGTTAAATTCATTTAAATTAAAATGAGCTAAATTCTTAACTTTATAATTTAGATTTTTCCATTTTTTATTACTCTTTAAATTTACTTTTTTCTTTAATTGCAAGGTGATGGTGTTGATGGCCAGACATTATTGGTAAACCTGAGCCCTACAAAAGACAAAGACTTTTTGCTGCATGCCAACAACAAGGAACACTCTGTGGAGGTAAAAGAAATATGCACTTAACTGTCATAACTAACTCCACTCACTTGTGCAAATTTGGGTGTCTAGCATATTTCAAAGAAGTTTTGCTTCTGCTATTGTACCTAAGACACAATCAGTTACTGCTAATAACTTGCTTCTGGAGTAGGAAAGGGAGATAAATGGCATGTATAGCCTTGCTACAGAAAGTCTGTTCTCTGCCAGGAGTGCACCTGGGAGTGTGTTAGCTATGCAGAACTTCAGGTTTCCTCACAATTAAAGCAGAATCATAATTTTAGCAAATCTCCAGGAGATTCATAAGCACATTGAAGTTTGAGAAGCACTGTTATATACAATGATCTCAAATCCTTTCCATTTTACTTTAGGAACTACTTTGTTCTTCCAGGAAGTGTTCCTGATAAAATATAGTTTTCTTAGGCAAATGTAAAAACAATTTTACACTCTGACCCTGCTAAAGGAAAAGTCATAAATGTTTCCATATGCCAAGATTTACTTTACAATGTTGTTACAAAAAAATGCAAATGGCAGTATAATATAGGTCATGGTGAAAATTTATAAACATCTTCAGGAACAAACAAGCCAAAGATAGAGACCAGAAAGAAAACATAAAGAGTATAATATAGATGACAAATGACATAAATACAAAATTATGAATCTAACTAATACAGTCATATAAGGTATTATCATAAACACTGGATGGTAGCCAGCATCTTTCTTAACAAACATTCCTAAATGTATATAAGAGTGTTGGATGTATATAACTACTCAGTGATAAGAGCTGACCCCATACAGAGCTCTGTTACATGCCAAATACTGTGCTAAATGTTTTACAAGAAGTCATCCTTTAGTTATTGCAGTAATTCCATAATAGAGTTGTTTTATTAGTCAAATATTACTACAATACAAACCATCCCTAACACTTATTGGCCTAAAATAATAATCACTTACATCATTCACATATGTGCTGGTAAGTTGTTGGTTCACAACAGAAAACTGATTAGACTAAAAAATTGAGGTTTGAGAAGTAAAGCAATGTGCACACGTCTCAGAAATAGTACATGGCAAAAGTCAGGCACAAATCCTGAGCTGCTACATCTAAATCCAGTCACTCTAAGCTATGTTTCTCAACTATCAATGAATCAAATCAGACACCCCCCCCCCACTTTAGCCCTCTACCCATTTCTTCCTACTACACCTGCCACTCCCATCCCCTACTTAGTAAGCATCCTTGCTAGAAATACTAGTTATAATTATTCCCTTTTAGTTTCTATTACAGGGAGGTAAGGTTGATTTTGGACTTCCCACTTACATGCTGGTTGCTTGCTTTCTTTTTTCCTCAGCTACAAAAATGTGAAAACCAATTGCCAGACCAGGCCTTCTTCCGCCTTCATAGGAAGTCTTCTAAATGTGTTTCTTTTGAATGTAAGAATAATCCTGGAGTGTTTATAGGAGTAAAGGATAATCACCTTGCTCTAATTAAAGTAGGGGACCCAACTGAGGATTCAAAGAGTATAGAGAATACCATATTTAAGCTTTCTTAAACTTCATGTGATGAAAAACTGTGGAGCCTGGGTTGGGTAACCCAAATAGCCAGTGCCGGAGAAATGTTGAGAGATAAAGAAAGAGCCAGACAATGTTTAAGGGAATGAAGGGTACTTGGTATGCTATGGAATATTTTTTTTATTATTTGTAAAAATATGTTTATAATATATTCTGTCTGTTTTTTACTACCCTTTGTCTCACTACATATTCAAGCGTGTATTGTTACATAGACCTCAGAAAATATACAACCTGACTTCTACTTTTTTCTACTTTCAGCCCAGAAAGCTTGATATTTAGAGCTGATATCTTTGGGGAGAAGCAAGGGCCTTAATACAAGTTTCATTTTAGACAGGGACCCATTTTAAAAAGCTACATAGAGACATAATTTTCCCTGTCCAAACAACAAATTCAAACCTTAGAGCTGTTGGTGAAAAGACAATCAGATCTACTTAGACTGACCATTTCACAAATGGAATAAAACACCAAATTTGTTTGAAGATGCCCAAAACCAGGACACCTGCTTGGCTCAGCTGGTTAGCTGATGCCTTTGGCTTAAGTCATGAACCCAGGGTCCTGGGATCAAGTCCTGCTTCAGACTCCCTGCTCAGCCAGGAGCCTGCTTCTTGCTTTGCCTGCCACTCCCCCTGCTTATGCGCTCACTCTCTCCCGCTCTCTCTCTCCCTTTCTGACAAATAAATAAATAAATAAAATCTTAAAAAAAAGGCCCAAAACTTCAGACACATTGATAGGTAGGCAGATAATATGAGAAAAGAGAAAGGTAGTTGAAAAATTAGTTATTTGTAAAGTAGTCTAGTATTTGTAAAGTAAATAATTTTACATCTAATTATTTCATTTTAAAAATGCTGATTCTTATAGAATGAGGTAAATTTAGCAGGGCATTCTTTTTTTTTTTAATCTTTTTTTTTAATTTATTTTCAGCATAACAGTATTCATTGCTTTTGTACCACACCCAGTGCTCCATGCAATCCGTGCCCTCTCTAATACAAAGTAAAATAAATTTTAGTTCAGACGTATAATTGAAATCTTTGGGAATATGTAACAAACTAAGTACCATGGTGAGGCCACAAGTCCTTTAATCTACTAGAGCCTAGATGGGACACAGAATTAACATTATAATATCAATAACTGACTATTCCTTATGTTTGTGTTATACAATGTCCTTCTGACATTAAGCTCCAGGGACCTATGACCTGATATACATGTCACCCTGGACAAAATTTCTTCTAATCCTTTCTTCCCATGTGTACAGTGTTTTCCTTGCCCAGCTTCCTGATTAGCATGCCTACTATGGAATGTTTTTATGACTTTTCTTCTTTCTTTTGACCAACTGTGCTCTTGATATACATTTTGTGACCCCTGAGCTTCATTCCATATTACCTAACCTCTGGATGGCAACATCTTTTTCTACTTTGTCTACCTGGTGTAGAATTTCACATAAGCATAATGATGGCATTATATTTTATTAAACACCTTTGCGTTTTACATTACTAAGGTAGCAAAATTTATACTTGACTATATAATAAAATTTTTCAACCACTAAAGCAATAAATTTTGCTTACTTTAAGGCGTCAAATTCTACTATAACTTTTTCATAGGTTTAATACTGACAATAAATGCTAAAACTAATAATAGTACCTATGAAGTACAACTTTTTCTGAAAGTGTAGGCTTTTAATTTTCTAATTTGTTGAGATCTATTGGATAAAATGCTGGTGGAACATAAGATTAAAAAGGCTAAGAATTACTGTGTGAAGGTAAACAATGTAAACAACAATATATCTTTCATTACATTGTCAGCTTTATTATGGAGACAAAAATAAAGCAGAATATATATCATCTTTTCTGAAAAACACTGTGTTAATAATATGCAGCTGTATGATATACTTAATATGATTGTTTTAAAAAACCTAATATATCTATTACATTGTTTAAGTTCTTGAATAAACTGTATTTTTTAAAAACTGTGTGAGGCCATAGTGGTTTTTTTTTTTTAATAAATTTTATTTTTTATAAACATATATTTTTTTTCCCCAGGGGTACAGGTCTGTGAATCGCCAGGTTTAAACACTTCACCGCACTCATCATAGCACATACCCTCCCCAATGTCCATAATAACCCCACCCCCCCAACCCCCCTCCCCCCAGCAACCCTCAGTTTGTTTTGTGAGATTAAGAGTCACTTATGGTTTATCTCCCTCCCAATCCCATCTTTTTTCATTTATTCTTCTCCTACCCCCTTAACCCCCCATGTTGCATCTCCTCTCCCTCATATCAGGGAGATCATATGATAGTTGTCTTTCTCCGATTGGCTTATTTCACTAAGCATGATACCCTCTAGTTCCATCCACGTCGTCTCAAAAGGCAAGATTTCATTTCTTTTGATGGCTGCATAGTATTCCATTGTGTATATATACCACATCTTCTTTATCCATTCGTCTATTGATGGACATCTAGGTTCTTTCCATAGTTTGGCTATTGTAGACATAGCTGCTATAAACATTCGGGTGCACGTGCCCCTTCGGATCACTACGTTTGTATCTTTAGGGTAAATACCCAGCAGTGCAATTGCTGGGTCATAGGGTAGTTCTATTTTCAACATTTTGAGGAACCTCCATGCTGTTTTCCAGAGTGGTTGCTCCAGCTTGCATTCCCACCAACAGTGTAGGAGGGTTCCCCTTTCTCTGCATCCTCGCCAGCATCTGTCATTTCTGGACTTGTTAATTTTAGCCATTCTGACTGGTGTGAGGTGGTATCTCATTGTGGTTTTGATTTGTATTTCCCTGATGCCGAGTGATATGGAGCACTTTTTCATGTGTCTGTTGGCCATCTGGATGTCTTCTTTGCAGAAATGTCTGTTCATGTCTTCTGCCCATTTCTTGATTGGATTATTTGTTCTTTGGGTGTTGAGTTTGCTAAGTTCGTTATAGATTCTGGACACTAGCCCCTTATCTGATAGGTTGTTTGCAAATATCTTCTCCCATTCTGTCAGTAGTCTTTTGGTTTTGTTAACTGTTTCCTTTGGTATGCAAAAGCTTTTGATCTTGATAAAATCCCAATAGTTCATTTTTGCCCTTGCTTCCCTTGCCTTTGGCGATGTTCCTAGGAAGATGTTGCTGCGGCTGAGGTCGAAGAGGTTGCTGCCTGTGTTCTCCTCAAGGATTTGGATGGATTCCTTTCTCACATTGAGGTCCTTCATCCATTTTGAGTCTATTTTCGTGTGTGGTGTAAGGAAGTGATCCAATTTCATTTTTCTGCATGTGGCTATCCAATTTTCCCAACACCATTTATTGAAGAGGCTGTCTTTTTTCCATTGGACATTCTTTCATGCTTTGTCGAAGATTAGTGTTGACCATAGAGTTGAGGGTCTATTTCTGGGCTCTCTATTCTGTTCCATTGATCTATGTGTCTGTTTTTGTGCCAGTACCATGCTGTCTTGATGATGACAGCTTTGTAATAGAGCTTGAAGTCCGGAATTGTGATGCCACCAACTCTGGCTTTCTTTTTCAATATTCCTTTGGCTATTCAAGGTCTTTTCTGGTTCCATATAAATTTTAGGATTATTTGTTCCATTTCTTTGAAAAAAATGGATGGTACTTTGATAGGAATTGCATTAAATGTGTAGATTGCTTTAGGTAGCATAGACATTTTCACAATATTTATTCTTCCAATCCAGGAGCATGGAACATTTTTCCATTTCTTTGTGTCTTCCTCAATTTCTTTCATGAGTACTTTATAGTTTTCTGTGTATAGATTCTTAGTCTCTTTGGTTAGGTTTATTCCTAGGTATCTTACAGTTTTGGGTGCAATTGTAAATGGGATTGACTCCTTAATTTCTCTTTCTTCTGTCTTGTTGTTGGTGTAGAGAAATGCAACTGATTTCTGTGCATTGATTTTATATCCTGACACTTTACTGAATTCCTGTACCAGTTGTAGCAGTTTTGGAGTGGAGTCTTTAGGGTTTTCCACATATAGTATCATATCATCTGCGAAGAGTGATAGTTTGACTTCTTCTTTGCTGATTTGGATGCCTTTAATTTCTTTTTGTTGTCTGATTGCTGAGGCTAGGACTTCTAGTACTATGTTGAATAGCAGTGGTGATAACGGACATCCCTGCCGTGTTCCTGACCTTAGCGGAAATGCTTTCAGTTTTTCTCCATTGAGAATGATATTTGCGATGGGTTTTTCATAGATGGCTTTGATAATATTGAGGTATGTGCCCTCTATCCCTACACTTTGAAGAGTTTTGATAAGGAAGGGATGCTATACTTTGTCAAATGCTTTTTCAGCATCTATGGAGAGTATCATATGGTTCTTGTTCTTTCTTTTATTAATGTGTTGTATCACATTGATTGATTTGCGGATGTTGAACCAACCTTGCAGCCCTGGAATAAATCCCACTTGGTCGTGGTGAATAATCCTTTTATTGTACTGTTAAATCCTATTGGCTAGTATTTTGGTGAGAATTTTTGCATCTGTGTTCATCAAGGATATTGGTCTGTAGTTCTCTTTTTTGATGGGATCCTTGTCTGGTTTTGGGATCAAGGTGATGCTGGCCTCATAAAATGAGTTTGGAAGTTTTCCTTCCATTTCTATTTTTTGGAACAGTTTCAGGAGAATAGGAATTTGTTCTTCCTTAAATGTTTGGTAGAATTCCCCCGGGAAGCCGTCTGGCCCTGGGCTTTTGTTTGTTTGGAGATTTTTGATGACTCTTTCAATCTCCTTACTGGTTATGGGTCTGTTCAGGCTTTCTATTTCTTCCTGGTTCAGTTGTGGTAGTTTATATGTCTCTAGGAATGCATCCATTTCTTCCAGATTGTCAAATTGGTTGGCATAGAGTTGCTCATAATATGTTCTTATGATTGTCTGTATTTCTTTGGTGTTAGTTGTGATCTCTCCTCTTTCATTCATGATTTTATTGATTTGGGTCCTTTCTCTTTTCTTTTTGATAAGTCTGGCCAGGGGTTTATCAATCTTATTAATTCTTTCAAAGAACTAGCTCCTAGTTCCATTGATTTGTTCTATTGTTTTCGTTTTTTTTTTTTTTTTTTTGGTTTCTATTTCATTGATTTCTGCTCTGATCTTTATTATTTCTCTTCTCCTGCTGGGTTTAGGGTTTCTTTCTTGTTCTTTCTCCAGCTCCTTTAGGTGTAGGGTTAGGTTGTGTACCTGAGACCTTTCTTGTTTCTTGAGAAAGGCTTGTACCGCTATATATTTTCCTCTCAGGACTGCCTTTGTTGTGTCCCACAGATTTTGAACCGTTGTGTTTTCATTATCATTTGTTTCCATGAATTTTTTCAATTCTTCTTTAATTTCCTGGTTGACCCATTCATTCTTTAGAAGGATTCTGTTTAGTCTCCATGTATTTGGGTTGCTTCCAAATTTCCTCTTGTGATTGAGTTCTAGCTTCAGAGCATTGTGGTCTGAAAATATGCAGGGAATGATCCCAATCTTTTGATACCAGTTGAGACCTGATTTAGGACCGAGGATGTGATCTATTCTGGAGAATGTTCCATGGGCACTAGAGAAGAATGTGTATTCTGTTGCTTTGGGATGAAATGTTCTGAATATATCTGTGATATCCATCT